TCCATCCTATTATTATATTCATCCCACTTATAAGCAAGCATTGTGCACCACTGATGTATCTTTCCATACACTTGGCTACTTTAAGCATTAGGTTAAGGGGATATTCCATGGCTTTGGACAATATTTTATAGCTCGACTTAAGTTGATGGGTTTTTGCCAACTCACTCAATAATTGCCCAACGTTTTTCAAATGATAATATTCCTACCTAGATTTCCAATTTTTATTTGCATTTAACCCATATCGAAAAATTCTACAATGTTAAAAGTAGAAAAGTTAATGAAATTAAATGCCAAATTTTTAAAATGATGAGGAAAGTCCACAACCATTATCTGATGGTGCGGTGCGTATTAGATAAAACTCGCATTGTGAACTAGTCGGTAAACGACGTGACCACAAAAAGGTAAATAAACTTAAGCTATTCATAATTACTCATTGAGAGTCGAAGTTGGAATCTTGTGCTTACCAAACCAACAACTCAACCAATTTGACTTGACCAAATGTCAATTTTAATACATTTTTACAAATAATAAAAGTAAAATTATCATTCTTTTTATAAAAATGTCGCTTTTAATTTTTATATATAGTAATTTTCAATCGATGCTTAAAAATTATCAATTGTGTGTGTGTGTGTGTGTGTGTGTGTGTGTGTGTGTGTGTGTGTGTGTGTATATATATATATATATATATATATATATAGAGAGAGAGAGAGAGAGAGTTCAAATATAATGCGGCGTTCTGATCTGTTCCTGAGCGGATTGCACAATTAAGTATGCATAAATACATCGGAGTAAAATAATGTACAAATACACTACAAAAATACATCATTCCTAGTCTGGTGCATTTCTAAATACGCTATGGTGATATTTTGATAAATAAAATAATAATTTTATATAACGTTTCTATCAAAATTCGATTGGAGGGCCAAACTCTAACATAGAAAACTCCTCGATTTCTCACCTAAAAAAACCCATGAGAGCTTTATATATGCAGGAAACCCACAATGGTTTCTCTATTGAATTTTGGCAAAAAAGTTTGCCATCTGCCAAGGGCTATTTTTTTTTTATAAATACTTTTCAATCAAGGCAAATAGAAAGTTATGATTCATGTTGACTCACTATACAACTAAAAATGTTTCAACCATTGAAAAAAGCAATCGAATATTCTGACTATTTTAATTTGTGGTAAAAAATAATAAGAAGTAATTTTGTGAATCTCAAAAGTATTTGGAAAAGTGACCAAAGCTTGGGTTCCAGCAATGAGCATAAGAGAACTCTCATTCCATTGAAGCTTAACAATAACTCAAATTAAAATTAATTAATATATAATGTGATTATGAATTATATTTGCTGTTGATCCTATAACTTATGTTGTTTTAATTGACATTTAATCCATTATATTATTTTTTGCACATTTCGTGTAGAACTTTCATTTTTTACTTTTTACCGTATTTGGTCCATTATATCAAAATTATCATAGAAAACAACAAATGCATCAACTTATATAAGATAACTACGGTTATATTTGTTTAGAAATATAAAATTCTCATGTTTGGTTCAGGTTATGTAATTTTCTCAAGAAATGTCACAAATTCCAAATATAGTTTTTAGCTATTGGAAGTGAATATGAGATACCCTCCAATTTCTGAGGTAATCTCACATTCCCTCATCTTATTACTAATTTTGGGCTTTTGACATTTTAATCAATTTATCTTATTACCGTTGTCTTATTTACATACCTTAGTTTTAAACCAAACACATAAATCTAACATTCCCAGCAATCTAACATTCTCTAAGGTAATCTAACATTCCGTGAACCAAACGCCCCCTAATTTTTCAAAAAGTATTGAGATGCTTAGGGAAGTATTATCTTGAACTGAAAATATAACACATTCTAATTGTTTTATTTAACTAGATATTTGATCAAAATGATTAATTGTGACAAAAATAATACTTATAAAATGAATATAAAAGTGACTTAATAATCATGGGACAAATAAAATTGAAATGATTGTATGATTATTGAATTTTGTGGAATCTTTGACCAACATGTTGAATATATAATATACAATGTTACAATAATCGCTAGGAGTTGCTCGGGCGCCTGGTCATGGGGACATTTAGGCGCCAATTAATCGGCTACCATTTTTTTTTTAAATTTAAAAGATTTTTAAAAAAATTATTTAAGACGTTGTAATTATAAATTAGTTAATACTTTAATAGTTAGTACTAAAATATAAAATATTAACTTAAAAAATATCTAGAATTTTAAATTGTATAAGCAAAGCACAACACAAAAGTCACAACTCAAAAAGTATTAATATTAGAGTACCTGATTTCAAATTTTTTTTTCTTTATTACATTTTGTGGGTTTGCGACCGAGTTGAACAAATTAGGATTATTTCACTAAAACCAGCGTAGGTTTGAGTGAAATAACCTATTTAAAAAAATGTGAAAAAATAGCTAACCTGTAGCCAAAACGCCCGCCTAGGCTACCTAGTCCGCGCCTAGACGACCTTCTTGGCCGCCTAGTCCGACGCGACCTATTCGGCGCCCAGTCGCCTAGTACCGCGATTTCGCCAAAATTCTAGGCGGTCGGCCACCGCCTAGCACATAGGCGCGATTTATGCAACCTTGAAGTTATAACACAAAATAATGCTATATATTTATTTACCAAGTATTTTATTAATACCATGAAAATTTTAAAAAAATATAATTAATAAAGCCAATCGTATTCAAATCACAAAACAAATTGAAGTGGAAAACTATCTCGCAATGCCCTTGTTTTACAATCAGCAGTTAGCTCTTTAATAGTAGTATATATTTAATATTTTATGCCCTAATTTTTATTTGTTTTCCCTTATGTCCCGTATTTGGTTTCAACCATACCTATACAATTTTTTATTGACAATTATAATCAATCTTGACTATATTATCTTGCTTTTATAAACTTAGAATTGCCTATTTAAATTCGCAAATTTAACATTCAATTATCTATGCATGAACAATTCCAATATAATGTTGTCTTGATATATTTTAAAGTACTTATTTTAAAAAAACATTGGGCATTATTCCAATCGCGCAATGCGCGTAAAAAACTAGTATAAACATAAATATGCAATAATTATGAGATATATGTAAGTCTCAAATTCACATAAATACTTTTTCATTCCTTCATTATTTGAATCTCATTCTAAAACAAACAAAAGATATATAGTTATGTGTGTACATTTAAGATAATATGTATATGTAGTTAACAATTTACGTGTCTATAGTTATCATGTTATGTGTCTGTAATTACTATGTGATGTGTCTTTAATTTGTTTATAGGTACAAAAATGTCAACCGCAGGTACAAAATCTAAAGGTTAACTTTGAATCATGATCTATAATACAAGGTAGATCCTAGTCTTTCGTATAATTTGACTATTTTATATGTTTGGTTAATTAACAAGAATTAAAGGTCTGTTTGGAAAGCAGGAAATGACTTCTGAAAAATGACTCATATTCCGGAAAACATTTTTCTTTCTCGTGTTTGGCTGCACAATGGAAAACTGTCTTTTTGTGTTTGGTTCATTTTCTAGAAAATGAATTGGAAAATGAACAGAATGGTATACTTCAACATTTTAATTGTTATACCAATAAAATTCACAGCATTAATACCAATAAAATTTGCATCATTAATACTAATAACAATTGCACAGCAAACATAAATAACGAGAAGTAAAACCAGTCGGAAAACACCAGTGATTTTCGCATCCGGAAACTAGTGGCTCTGGTTTCCGGCTGCGAAAACCAGAGGTCCGCATCGGAAACTAGAGTCACTGTTTTCGATGCGAAACTAGTGAATTGGTTTTCGCGGAAACCAGTGACTCTGGTTTCCTCAGTCGAAAATTAGTTCTGGTTTCCAGTTGAGGAAACCAGTGACGAACGCTAAAACCTTCTTCCGGTTGTGGGTTTTCCTCCCCACAGGCAGAAAATAACATACTTTTTTTTTAGATCTATGAAATTGGGAGAAAAAAATCAAACTGGAAAAAGATTTCTATAGCTTTTCTAGTGTTGGTAGAGATTTGTTGGTGAAGCTTTTGTGGTTGTGGGATTGTTGGAGGAGGAGGTGTTGGTTGAGTTTTGTCTGTTGAATGTTGAAGGGGGAAGCCGAAGGCGAATGAAGCAGCGTGTCTAAGGACTAAGGAGATAAAAAATACTTCCCCCCAAAAAAGGGGAAGTCATTTTCTGGAAAAATGGGGTCATTGGCCATTGACCAGACCCCATTTTCTTTGACTTCTCATTTTCCAGCCTAGCTAAACACCAGAAACCCGAAAAATGATTTTCAGAAATCATTTTTTGAGTTTCCAAACAGACCCTAAGGGCATGTTTGGTTCGTTGGAAAATGTTTTTCCAATGAAAATATTTTCATTCAATTTGAGGAAAACCAGTTTTTCCTTTGTTTGGTTCATGAAAAACATTTTTCATGGCCCAACTTCGTATTTTGTTTTCCATGAAAAACAAGTAGGACAATTATGCGCTCATTAACGTTTCTTAATTAATATTATTGTTGTTGCTATTATTATTATGTAAGGGTATTATGCGCTCATTAGTTCTTACCATTCCAAACTCAATCAAACAATGGAATCGATTTTCCCAGTAATTTATTTCCACCATCCAAACATATAATTGATTTTCTCAATAATTTCTTTTCCATGAAATTTCATTCTCATTTCCACTCAAATATTTTATGTGATAAGTAAAATTGTTTTAATTCAAATTTATATATTTAGAAATAATATTAAATATATTATTAAACACAAAAAATTAAATTTAAAAATACATAGAATATGTAATCTCCAAAAAAAAAAAATAAATAAATAAAAGAATACATAGAATATGTCAACATTTTTGTGAACTAGTACGGAAGATCGGATCTTGTAAAAGATTTTTTTGTGCCATGTGTTTAATATTTCTGCTACGTTTAGTACAACCTCATTAAGGAACCTTGTTACCTTAATATTATCTTCCCACTTCCCACTTGTTACAATATTATAATTTCTGTTTCATTTCACGAAATAAAAGAAAACCCAAAACTCTCTCCATTTCTCCCTCTCTCCCAAACAACTACCATGTCCCTTACTGACCGCTACTCGCCGACATGCACGGAGCTCGGCGACGGCGGCGGCGGCGCAACCGCCACCGACGGTGTCGCCGGCAAGGGGTTCATGCTGTTCGGGGTTAGAGTGATGGAGGGTGCAGCAGCAGGGTCGTTTAGAAAGTGTGCCAGCATGACCAACCTGGCTCAGTTTGATCACCACCCTCAAGAATCAAACGCCGACGTCAACGCCGGCTATACTTCCGACGACGTCGTTCATCCCTCCGCCGGCAGCCGTGAACGGAAAAGAGGTATTTCTATCGTCAATCGCTTCTCCAATCTCAACCCTTTCCAATATGTTGTTTATATTCAACATATATATAATATTTTTTTGAAATACTCATTAATCTTTACCAATATAGTATTTGTTCTATATTTTTTTCAATATTTTAGGTCTAAAAAATCAAATTCCCACCACGGATTCGATTCTGTGACCATCCATTTAGAATGGTATCAGTTGTGTCATCGCACCATATTATTATATACTCTATTTGTCCTATTTTGTTTGTCGGTTTAATGAGACGAAATTATTTTTAATTCAATTTTTTTCATACATTTAGTATTAATATATAAAATTTATATATTTAGAAATTACATTAAAATTACTATTAAATAAAAAAAAAGTTTTTAAATTTAAAAATTACTAAAGAAAATAAGTATTCCGTAATAAAGAAAGAATTGTTTTGACCCATGAATAATAAATAAATAATAAAATAGGACAAAGTAAGTAATATATATCAGGACTATGTGGTCTAATGGTACCCGGGTTGGGCTTCCATTTGGAAGATTATGAGTTCGAGCCTCAGTTGAGGCGTTATTGGTTCTTTGTGTTTCAGCAGGTTGAGAAAGTATATAAACAGATACTACAATGTAATAGGACCAGTAACTTTCAAAAGAAAAAAAAAAAAGTAATATATAAATATACAGCTCAACTATCAACTTAGTTTTTTAGTTAAGATGAAACACATTTTAATTTAATATTATATCAGCCTGTTAAATCAATAATATATGAATATAAATGTACAATTTAATTATGAGTTTAAATTTTTAGTTAACATAGGGACATATTTCAATTGTTGAAATGTGTTGTCTGTGTTTGGTAAGGTGTGGCGTGGACGGAGGAAGAACACAGGCTATTTTTACTGGGGTTGCAAAAAGTAGGAAAAGGGGATTGGAGAGGAATTTCAAGAAATTTCGTGAAATCACGTACACCAACTCAAGTCGCCAGCCATGCCCAGAAGTATTTTCTCCGCCGGAACAACCACGGCCGCCGCCGCCGCCGCTCTAGTCTCTTCGACATCACCACCGACAACGTAAGCTCATCGTCCCCTCGAAGTGTATTAATAATTGTTGGGCAAAATTTCATGAAACGTCAATCTTAGTATTATTGTAATATGATTATTTTTAGTCATTTATTCATAAGTTTAAATTTTGTAAAATATAAAGATATTTAAATCTTAAATTAATAATTTTTTTTTAAAAAAATAAAAATTAAAATATAAACTCAACTCATTTTGTATAAAAAAAAATCAAAATATCTGTTTAAAATATTTTAATTATTTAGTTGGCGGAAGATAAAAATTGTCATGTACAATAATACCAAGGTCAAAAAAAATATTTTAAAAAGAATAAGACTAAAAATAGACCTGTCACTTATAAATTTAGAACAAAAAATAAAATTAACTCTTAATAAGTGGTATCAGATCAAATCACCGGTTTCTTTTAATGTATACCCACGTTTAATTCTTGTATTAATTTGTTACAGGTTTTGGGGGCCGCAAAATTAGAACAACAAAGCAGCACCGTAGAGAAACTTCCGGTGGCTGCTTTTCCGATGACGGCAAAACCAGTATTACCGCCGCCGGTAATCGCCGGCGATTCATCCCATAATTACCCGACAAAGCCCACCCGTCCAATTCCGGTTCTTCCGGCGCCTCCATCTTCCAAGCTGGCTGATCTCAATTTAAACAGGATAACATCAATAGCCGAGCCTCTGCCTTTGTCTCTAAAGCTTCCAACGCCGCCGTCGCCGCAGCCGCCATCCTCGTCATCGTCGGAGCAGAAGTCTCCGCCGGGGAGACACACGCCGGCGTTTCAGGCAATGTCCGGTAGCTTTAACAGCAACAACGGCGATAGCATCATTAGCGTGGCTTGAAAACTCAATTATTATATTAAAGTATATATATATATATATATATATATATATATATATATATATATATATATATATATATATATATGTGATTAGGGTCAAGTTCCCGTGTAGACAGTGTTTTCTGTGCATTCATGCGGTCACTCATCATTAGGTATGTATAAATACATTACAAAGTGTTTCGAATGCACTATTAGGTGTAGTGAGGTTTGGTGTATTTTTTTGGTGTGTGATACGTTTTGTGGTGCAATGGGGCATTTTATTGTGGTGCAATTATACATACTTGATAATGAATTTGCACCGATCGCACGAAAAGTACTGTTCGTATTTGAACCAGTATCTATGTGATTAAAAGTTAAATTAATAGTGATAAAAGTGTTTGTAAGGGTTTGGGGGTGGGGGGCATTATAAGATGGATTAGTTAGGTTTGATTTAGACATTTGAGGGGGTATGAGGGGTGAATGATTACTTGGTGTACAGTAGTTTTTAGGAAGAAATTAATATGGTTGGGATCGGATATGCCGATATGGTGTCATTTTCATTATATTATATTAGTTTAGGGATTTAATATAATGTTTTTATTTATGTTCGATTATATATGGTTTTCTTTTGTGGTGTGTATAAAAAGAACCAACAATTTTTCAAAAAAAAAAAAAAAAAAAAAAAAAAAAAAAAAAAAAAAAAAAAAACCAACAATATGAAATGATGTTTGAATGTAGTTTAATGCCCTTGTCTTTTGTGAGCCAACAAATGACTATCATTCAAAACCACACAATATGAAGTTTCTTATTCCAAGGAAGAAGATATGTGGCTGAAATTGTACTCAAGTATTTATTTTACTTTTAAACTTTTTTTTTTAAATAATACTGACTCTGTTACAATGCAGTATCTGTTCATAATTATTTTCAATTCTCAACTTTCAATTCTCAACCTACTAAAGCACAAAGAGTCAACAGTATTGTTTTCACTTTTGATTAATTTTTATTTGTTACACTTTTACTCTTTAATTTTAAAAATTTTCATTTTGGTTATTTTAATTCATTCAATTCCAAAATACTTAAAATGTTCTTACGCTATGACAATTTTGCAAAAATTTACTTTAGTGTATTTAGTCATTTTGATTTTATTTTTTTTTGAAATACTGTACTGATGATTCTTTACATCAGATAATATCTATTCTATATTTTCTCAAACATTTTCAGCCCAAAGAATCTAAGCCTTACCATCAGGATTCAAACCTATGACCACCCATTGTTAATGGTAACCAGGATGTCATCACACTACATGGTAGTTGGCTAGTCATTTTCAATTTAAAATGGATCGGAACATTTTTTAAAGTTAAAGAACAAATTAATATCGATGGTTAAATGTGAAAATTGCATTACAATTAGAAAAAAGATTCATGAGATTAATACCCAATATAGTCCTTGACTATAGTGATTTTAAATAATTTAGTTCTAAATGACTTTTTGTGCTCAATTTAGTCCTCGACTTTGATGGTTTTACACAATTTAGTCCTTTTTTTTTTTTTTTTTTTTTTTTTTTTTTTAAATTCTGTTAGTTGGATGTTAGAAATAGGGTCCTAATGGTAATTTATCATCCTTATCCCATTTGGCATGATTCCTTCTTCTTCACATTATTAAGCTCCACTCATATATAAATTGAGATCTTTATCCTCAAATCAACTTCAACCCTAAATAAATAAATATTTGCCTACAATTTTTTAATAGTTTTTTAAAGTTGGATTTGGGTACGAAGATTTACATTTCTGTGTGGATCTTAATAACGGGAAGAAGAAGGAATCATCCCAAATGGGATGAAGGATGAGAAATTACCATTAGGACCATATTTCTAACCGTCAACTAAAAGAATTTTTAACAAAGGAATAAATTGTGTAAAACCATCAAAGTCGGGGACTAAATTGAGCACAACACTGCTGGAAAACAGCACTTTTCTGACCACTTCAAAAAATGGTCGTAAAAGTTGACTTTTTTGCCCATTTTCGTTAAATGCTAGAGTGGTCGGAAAGTGGACGGAAATTTCCGAACACTTCTCACTTGTGGACGGAAACTTCCGACCACACAAAAATGTGGTCGGTAAGTTATTACAAATTTTTCAACCTGTGTCCGGAAGGATTACGACCACCTTTTGTGGTCGGAAGTTTCCGGCAACATCTTCGAAATGGTCGGAAGTTTTCGACCACTTGCCAATAGTGGTCGGAACATCGCTGGGCTATTATTTTAAAAATTGACTTTTTCTGACCACTTGTCGGTGGTCGGAAAGGTCTTTTATACTTATCCCTGCGCAGCAGACTTTCTGCCCAGTTTCCATACTTCTCTTCTTCTTTTTTTTTTTTTTTTTTTTTTTTCTTACCTCTTTCCACAGATTTCTTCATGTTTGGTGGATGTTTTTTGCTAAAGCACTCACAATAGTGTAGAAATCATGTAAGTTATGTACATATATACTTAGAACTTCCATTTATATCATTTTTTTTTTTATATAGCTCTAGTAGCTAGTTTGAACCTTTTTGTATTTTTTTTAATTTTTTTTTTTTGTAGGAGGTTTTTTCACTATAGTGTTGAAATCAAGCTAAGGTATGTGTATATATTTTTAAAATTTATATTTACGTCGATTTGTTTTGTAGATCTAGCTTTAATTTTTTGTATATATTTTTGTGAATACATTTTAAATTTATTTATTTATGTAGTGTGCATATATATATATATATATATATATATATATATATATATATATATGTGTGTGTGTGTGTGTGTGTGTGTGTGTGTGTGTGTGTGTGTGTGTGTGTGTGTGTGTGTGTGTGTGTGTGTGTGTGTGGGTAAAATTTGTTTATTTATTTATGATTGTGTTTAGACTTATTTGTATATTTATGATTTTTAATATTGAATTTTAATTTATATGTTGTGTATTTATTATTAGTATGTTCATAATATAATAATTTAAATTATTTATATATGTTGTATTTGTATTGTATATACTTTTGCAGTTGTTTTACATGGCTAATATACCTGAACATCGAAAATGGATGTATAACCGATTGTTACCAGGAAGAAGGGGGTACACTAATGAGTTTTTAGCCGGTGTTGAGGAATTTATAAATTATGCAAGCAGACTTCATTGTTACGAGGTTTCAATGCTGATTAGGTGTCCATGTAGTAAGTGTAGGAATAGAGTACACTTGTCTGCAGATGATGTTCGTGTTCATTTGTATAAGAAGGGGTTTGAACCGAATTATTGGGTTTGGACATGTCATGATGAGCTTCCCCCCTCAATACAACCGAATATGAATGAGGGCTCTAGTGAAAACAATCAGTATGAACAAATGATTTTTGATGCATCTGGTCCATCATTTTTCCCACTAAATGCCGAGAATTACCAAGATGAAGAGCCATATAGTAGTGCACAAAATTTCTATGATTTGTTAAATGCTGCGAGGCAACCTCTATCAATGAATGTTAGTGAAGAAACAGAGTTGGCATATACATTAAGGATGATGAATATCAAGACAACTTTTAATATACCGCAGCTAGCAATGGATCAGATATTTGAGTATATTAACCATTTGATGGGTCCCGATAATCGAGTACCTAACAGGTATTATGATGCAAAAAAATTACTTACAAAGCTTGGTCTTGGACATGAGAAGATTGATTGTTGTGTAAACAGTTGTATGTTGTACTATAAGTCTGAAATAAATGACAAGCACTGTAAGTTTTGTGGTGAGCCAAGATTTAAACCACGCCCACCTAGATGTACTCGTGCAAAAGAGGTGCCACGCAACAGAATGCATTACCTTCCTCTCATCCCTAGATTGCAACGATTGTATGCATCACATAGCTCTGCTTCACACATGCGGTGGCATTATGAAAATCGCTGCGAACCTGGTATTATGTGTCATCCTTCAGATTGTGAAGCATGGAAGCACTTTGATAGAAGGTTTCCTGATTTCGTAGCAGATCCTAGAAACGTGAGATTGGGCTTATGTTCTGATGGATTTTCTCCTTTTGGTTTCAATGCGAAGCCATACTCTTGTTGGCCTGTTATGGTTGTTCCGTATAATCTCCCACCTTCAATGTGTATGACTACACCATACACATTCTTAACATGTATTATTCCTGGAGAAAAGAACCCAAAAACCAACATTGATGTCTATTTGCAGCCTTTAATTGATGAACTTCAGTTGTTATGGGAAACAGGTGTCTTAACTTATGATTCATCACTGAAACAAAATTTTATGATGCAAGCTGCGTTAATGTGGACCATCAATGACTTTCCTGCGTACGGTATGTTATCTGGATGGCAGACAACCGGGAAACTAGCATGTCCTTATTGTCTTCAGTATTCTAAATCATTTTACTTGAAGAATGGTCATAAAACATGTTGGTTTGATTGTCACCGTCAATTCCTTCCAATGAATCACTCTTGGAGGAAGAATCGAGATGCCTTCGTCAAACGACGGGTAGAGAAATCAATACCTCCACCAATTATGACAGGGGATGAATTGTTTCATTATTTGGAAAATATCCCAAGGATTATTGATGGTCCAATTGATCGCATTGATGGGTTTGGACAGTCACACAATTGGAAAAAAAGGAGCATATTTTGGGATTTACCTTATTGGAAGGATAACTTGCTACGTCATAACCTTGATGTGATGCATATAGAGAAAAATGTGTTTGACAACATCTTTCACACAGTTATGGATGTCAAAGGCACAACAAAAAATAAAGACACACCTAGTGCACGTCTTGATATGAAGGATGTATGTAATAGGCCACAACTTGAGTTGGTGGAAAATAATGGACGTTTTCTTATGCCCAAGGCGAGCTACAGTTTGCACCGTACTAATCAATTGCATTATCTGAAGCCTAAGTTATGTCACAACGTAACTCAAAGCAAATGAGTCAAAGCTTGATGTCCCAACCTTCGACACAACCCCGACAGGTGCATGAAAGTGATTCTGAGCATACTATGTCGGCATTGCCTACTTCAAACTCAACTGATTTAGAAGGAGTATCAC